TCCTTGTGTGTTGCTTTAATAATTGTTGTGTCTCAAAAATACTTCTCCACACAAAAGATGGATTATTCCCTAATTTAGCATTTAGAAAATCCGAATTAGGAAAATATCTTACCTTCAAAATCTTCTCCATCAGGCTGCCTTTCTCATTGATCAACCGCCACCCCTGTTTACCTAGCATGGCCAGATTAAATTCTCTCAACCGCCTGAACCCCAATCCACCTAGCTCTTTCGGTTTACACAGCTTCTTCCAACATCTCCATCTCATTCCTTTCTGATCAAGCTTCGTTCCCCTCCACCAAAAACCATTCATTAATTTCTCAATCTCATCACACAACTCATTCGGTAATAAAAATACATTCATAGCATAGGAGGGCATTGCGTGGACCACATTTTTCAGCAGGACCGCACGTCCGGCCCTTGAGAGAAACTGGTTATTCCAACTCTTGATTCTATTATAAATCCGGTCCTTCAAGTAACTCAGAATAGCACCTTTATTTTTCCCCACCATTGCCGGTAAACCCAGATATGTCCCGTTCTCCCCTTCTGTAAAAACACCCAATTTTTGTCTGCACATTTCTCTAACCTGCTCCGCAGTGTTCGGGCTAAAAGAAACAGTAGACTTAGAAAAATTCACAACCTGCCCCGACATCTCCTCATAATAATTAAATATTTCATTAACATTATCACATTCAACTGGGGTGGCTTTGAAAAATAAGAAGCTATCATCAGCAAAAAATAAATGTGATACTTTCGGAGCTCCCCTACAGACAGCCACCCCATGCACCCCCCTGCTTTCAGCCCTTCTCAGTAAAGAGCTCAACCCCTCAGCTACTAAGATGAATAAATAAGGTGACAAGGGGTCCCCTTGTCTTAAACCCCTTCAAGGAATAATCGGCCCCAACGCACCCTTCTCATACTGGACATGATAACTAACTGTACTGATGCACTCCATGATTAGCTCGATCCAGCGGGTTACAAAACCCATTCGCTCCATTATTTTCCCCAAAAAGCGTCAACTCACTCGGTCATAAGCTTTGCTCATATCAAGTTTTAAGACCACAAAACCTTCCTTACCCCCTTGTTTTCTTTTCAAACAGTGTTGTGTCTCAAAAGCAATCACAATATTATCCACAATTGATCTACCTGGGATAAAGGCACTCTGGTTTTGCCCAATCAGATCTCCCAATAAGCCTTTCATCCGATTAGCCAAGACTTTCGAAAAAATCTTATATACCATGTTGCAAAGAGCGATTGGTCTTCAATCCCCCATACTCTCAAGTCTCTCCTTTTTAGGGATTAGAACTACATTAGTGACATTATATTCTCTAGGAATTTTCCGGCTTTCGAAAATTCCTCTACACATCTCCACCACCTCCGGTCCCACAATATCCCAAAATTTCTGAAAAAATGCTGGGTTCATTCCATCCTTGCCTGGTGCTTTCTCCGGGTGCATATTGAATGCCGCTTCCTTCACTTCCTCCGCCGTAAGCGGCCTGATTAATCTAGCATTCTGTGCCGCACTCAAAGTTCCCATCGGTCCAAAGATTTCTTCCCTTTCAGTCCCAGCTGGAGCTATGAATAAACCAGAGAAATAGTCAAAGACCATGTTCCCCACTTCTTCCCTATCAGTTGCCCAGCTACCATCCGACCTTCGTAGTCCCTGCATTTTATTTCTCCTTTGATGAGCTTTAATTGCATTATGGAAAAATCTAGAGTTGATATCTCCTTCTCTCAACCAGAACTCCTTAGCTCTCTGCTTCCAATATTGATTTTCTTTTTCTAATAAAGAATTCAGAACCAGTGTGGTTCGAATGAACTTCCTTATACTGACCGGATCCTCCTTCCACTTTAACCATGCTAATCTTTTTTACAATTTTGAATATGATGTCGAAAGCCCTTTACTCTGCTCCCATCCCATTTGGCAAGTTCCTTGCCGCAAAAGATAAGCCGGTCACTAACTTCCAACTGGTCTCTTGCTCTCCAACTGTTAACCACAATTGTTCTGCATTCCTCCTCCTTTAACCAGTTATTCTCGAACCGAAATTTCTTCGCAGTCCTGCTATGAGAAGTTGGCCTAATCCGTAGAAATAATGCCATATGATCACTTGTAGTAGCCTCAACCGAACTTGCTCTTGCTTCCCTGAACATATCCCACCAGGAATCATTGACTAGGACCTGGTCCAGTTTTTCCTCAACCCAATTAGGGGTACCATTTCCCCAGTCCCATGTCCACTGGTATCCATCAAAAGGGAAATCCCTTAAATCGCTATCTGCCACTGCCTCTCGGAATCCCCGCATCCGCCACTGAGGGTGCGGAATACGACCTTTCTTCTCTGATGCATACATGATATCATTCATGTCTCCCATTACCAGCCAAGCGGTCGGATTTCTCCCCGCCAATCGCTTCAGCAGCTCCCACACCGCTCGTCGTCTCACCGTCTCTGGGTATCCATAGAGCCCGGTTAGCCGCCACGTAGCGCCTCCATCCATGGAATTCATCTGACAATCCACAAAATTGGTGTGAATCTCCAGAACCGTAACATCGTAATCTTCATTCCATCCCAAAATAATTCCCCCTCCTTGCCCTTCTGCATCTATTCCTTCGCTGTTAGCAAACCCTAATGAACGAAGTAAATCTTTCGCCTGACTGCACCGCAACTTCATCTCCATTAGGAATATAATTGACGGTCTGTTCTTTTGCACTAGATCCGTTAAACACTGCACCGCCGCCGGACTCCCCAGACCTCTACGATTCCATGTCAAAACGCTCATGTCCTCGACACGCCAAAGTCAAAGCAGGAAACAATAACCTCTACCTCGGCGCCGTACCCCACTGTCCAGGGCACCACCGGAAAGACGACTAGGCGAAGCCGTTACCGGCAACCCTAGAATTTAATTTTACGGAATTCAAATACTCCGTATTTTTACACGCAAATGTTAATATGTTAAAATTGCATAGACAATATTGGTCTCATTTAAAAGATCATGAAAAAAAAAATTGATATAAATTTTATAAAAATTGGATCAAAAATAAAAAAATTATTAACATATTTAAGAAAAGGAGAAATAGAAAATAACAAACCCAACCAACCATTCCAGCTCACTGGGTGGAAGGTTACCGTGTCCTAGCGGAGGTCTCGGATTCGAATCCCGCTAAGCACATTTAGGGGAGAGGAGGGAGGTCTTGCTCCCAATGATTCTTCTTATCTTCACGGAGTTGCTCAGCGGCTGAGAAGGGAGAGGATGATAATGAAGGTAGTGGGTTCGTGTGGTGGGAGGAGCAGCCCGAAAGGTGATGTAAGTCCTGCTGGATTCGTCCTTTGGAGCCAGTAGTGACGAGGTTGACTGTGATCAGATCCGGACTTAACTATCTAGGGACTTTGGAGGGTAGTTCATAGACTTCAGGATTATGGGAGCGTATACCCTGACACCTGGATTATCAAAAACAAAAAATAACAAACCCACTTCAATAACTAAAATAACATCATTGCATTTTGTGTTCTCGAGACAAATGTTTGACCGTAACTTCATTAATTGTCACTATTGAACGAACATTACACACACATCATCCATGATGTCACTTTAACTTTTTTTCTATCCTAATCTCTTAAACATTGTTAATACTAGTTTAAGAAGAAGTTTATTAATATAAACTTTCTATTTGTGAATTAAGATGAAGTTTAATAATGAAATGTGAATTGAATTAAAACAAAACAATGGTAGAATGGGAATGCTAGTTCATTTTAGGATACTTATATGTAGAGTAAAATGCATAAATGGTCCTTGACTATCATCATCATATTGTTTTGGTTCTCGAACTATTAAATCTATAATTTTAGCCCTTAATCTATTTCATCTATATTAATCGAGTTCTTCCGGTAGATTTGTCATTAACTTTGACGGAAGCTAATTATCAAAATACTCTTACGAAGTATTATAAACTACCTCCGTCTCGTTAGAAGGTTTTCGTCTACTATTTGCATGGTCAACTTAAATCAGTTTTAATCTTTTACTTTATAAATCAAATTGTTATCAAATTTACACTTTTTATCAGGTTTTATTGCGGTTTTAATGTAGTTTCTGAATATGTTAATTTATTTACTAAAAATAATCAGTGTAAACAAGAATTAAATTGTTTTATCGTTAGTCAAGTATCGTAAACCGTCAACGGGAACCTTCTAGCGTGACGGAGGGAGTAAGTAAAAACTTACCCAAATTAGGTAATATAGACTCCAGTAAGAAATAACACGGCACGTGATACTTTCTCCGTTCTTAAATAAGTGCATGCAACAGTCAACATTTCACACTTGCCGAGACACAACTTTGACCATCAATATATATAATTCTCTATTAGTAAAAAATTTAAAAAATTAGTTTTTGAAAATTTACAATGAGACAAATTTAATAATATATTTTTAAAAAAAATATATTAATACATCAATAAATAAAATGTAGTCAAAATAGAACATGTGAATAGTGTAAAATTTCACATGTCGCACTTATTTAATAAAAGAGATACTCTCTATGTCCCCCTATTATTGTCTCATTTCCTATTCACTTGGTCAACACAAATAACTCTTAATCTCTTACTTTATTTATCAAATTTTTATTAAACTTGATTCTGGTTTTTGCGACTTTGTAAACCTTTTGATGTAGTTTCTGAATATGCAATTCTTTTTCCTAAAAATAATTCTAGTGCGGACAGGGATCTGTTTGCTTTATCGTCAGTCAAGCATCGTAAACCGCAATGGAACAATAACAGGGGGACGGAGGTAGTACTATATACTTCCTCCGTTCCTAAATAAATGCAACGATCAACATTTCACACTTGTCGAGATACAACTTTGACCATTAATATAAATGATTCTGTATTAGTAAAAAAAAATTAAAAATTAGATTATAAAAATTTACAATTAGACAAGTTTAATAATATTTTTTTCATAAAATAATATTATTACATTAATAAATAAAACGTAGTAAAAGTAAAACATGTGAACAGTGTAAAACTCAATTCGTTTATGGGCTCGGCATTATCAGTGTGGCGAGTGGCGACCACTGCAATTCGTTGGCTCAAAGGAAAGAGTGTTGTGGGCCAGATCATAGGTCACCATCATATTCTGCTGTAGAAAGTTCCCCAAAACCCCAAACGACCCTCCACCTCCGGCGTCGCCGATTGCCAAACAAGTAGTGTTACGACCGAAATCCTCTTCGATTATGAACATATTCTGTTCAGGGATGCTCAGATTTGCGGCGGCGTGGGTGCCCTGTAAATGGAGCGTCAGCGTCGGGAAGCTGATCCCATTGCTCTTCTTTGGCAGCGTGAAACAAGGTAGATCGGAACTATTGTCCGAAGGAAGATTCAGCTGCCTCCCCACCTCATCAACGACCGCATTGAAGGCTGCCGTCGGAAGGTAAGTGAGGCTGGTGCCGGTGTTGACAATCATCCCGCCACTCCCGTCCTGATTCAGCTGGAACGCCTCCTTTGGCACCGATGACAGCCGTGTCTTGCCTACCGAGATTCCTTCCACGGAAACATAGTAATACTGCGATTTGGCCGAGTTGTTTGATGAAGCTGGAATTTCTGCAAATGGCGTCGTAGTCACCTGATCACCACCGCCTGCTGTAGATGATGCACCCCCCAGTCTAAGCGTGCCGGTTGAATTGCTTCCCAGGCCGGGCAAGCAGTAGGAGAATTGGGAGAGGTTGAGCTGGGAGACCAAGGACAGCCGCCCGCGGCTGAGACCAACCAAACCTGAGTTGTGGTTAAATCCTATCCCGCCGCTATTGTTTTGGCCGCAGAGGAAGGTGACGTTGGGGAAAGAAACGCCGCCTTCAAATGTCAAAGTCTCTGAGGCGTAGTAGCCTTCGACCGTCGACCCATCGTCGTACTTGATGCGGCGGGGGCAGCTGCCGCGGGTGTCATTCTTGTTTTTTCGTGGACACGCGGACTTGTGAAAAGAAGTGGATTTCTTGGGATTGAAGATGGGAGTGTCTTGAGGATAACAGTGGACGCATGGCTGACACTGCATCCACGTCAAGTCACTCCCGATGTCCATGAGAGACGTCAAATTCACCCGTGGAGTCCCGATGGATAGGTTCATCAAGAACCCCCCGTTATCGGGCGCGGGAAGTATCGCAGACATCATCACCTTCCCCTCGTGCTCCGCCGCAGCAGTAGCAGCCCGCCAGGCACCAAACCTCTTGGCGTCGTGTTTTATTCCGATTCTCAAAAGCTCCACCCTCGACAAATTTTCGCCTGTATTGATGTCGTGATGTCTGCTCAGACTCGTCAGAAGCCCCACAGGCGTCGTGAAATTCAGCCTCAAGCTTGAAACCCAAAAACTGATGATCACCATCGACCAAACCTTCAAAGGAAACCAATAACCCATTTTTTTTGTACTGCAATTCTGTGTAGTTAGTGAGTATCAAACACATTGATTCCGCCCCTTATATAGCCCAGGGGCCGGGGCTTAATTGGAAGATTAAAGACATACTTAGCTTAATTATATTGGGGTTTGACTTCCCACATATGTATTCACACCAAAACTATTTTCGAAATAAAATACTACTACTTCCGTCCCATTTTTTTTGTCTCACTTTGACTTGACATAATTATTAATAAAATGGTTGAAAAAATAAAAGTTATGGTTGAAATTTGAGTATATTAAATTAAAATGTTATAAACCACATGTTTTTTCCTAAAAGAGGAAATGTGACACTTACTACGTATTTTAGAACAATCCAAAAAAAAGTAGGACATATAAAATGGGACAGAAAGAGTATCTTCTATGCATTTCATTGATTCCATGTTGGTCAGTGTTACTATGCCCTATAAAAATGTGAGATTACCCGGCCTATCTTCTATGCATTTCATTGATTCAAATCAATATTTTATCATTAATTTATATTTAAATCATGTATTTTAATCGATGCACATGGAAATGATCGTTGCAATGCTCCTAGCACCATGAGAGGCAACATATACGTTTTAAGGAAATTGTGCGTTGCACAAGATTTAACTAATTTCTGTTCCGTCTCTTTTCTGTTTGTTCTTTGATTGTTTTTAATTAATTTTAATTAATTAATTTTCTTTCTTTTTCGAGAACACACCCTACAAGAATTTTTAGTGTGTACGTTTTTTAGATATTGGCTTCATATTTTGCTAAATTTGTGACAGCTACATGTAATAATTATGGCACGGATTTTTTTGACATCGATTAGGATGTATGTTCATATAATGGCGAAAAAATCTTATTCTTACAACATATCACAAGTCTAATGAAAGAAACTATCAATATATTATGCTACATTCATTCCAAAATACTTAGCCAAATTCAAAATTTTGACCAGTTATATATTTTGGAAATTATTTATAATAATATACAAAAGATACGAAAATGTTCTTTGTTGAAAGTATTTTCATAAAAGTATAAAATTTATAATTTTCATTATATTATTCTAATCAAAACCATGGTCCAAATTTTAGGATTTGGTGAAGTATTTTGGGACGGAGGTAGCTTAGTATTCATTTATGTTGTGAATAAAATGATTTTTAACCCATCAAATGACAGTTCCGGAGTCCAAAATAGACGATGATGACATCATGACATCTAGAGTGGCTAGGCGGCACGCGGGAGTCGGAAGGCAGCGACTATTCTTCCGGACGACGGTGGCGTCATTTCTGTCAAAAGTAGCAAAGCTGCAAAGGTATACTCCCTCCGTCCCGTTGGAATGATCCCGCTTTCTTGTTTGGATGTCCCGTTGGAAAGTTTCCATTTCCCTAAATAGAAAGTTATCCTACATCAAAACAGGGTCAAACAGTGCAAAACAGTGTCGAAACAGTGTCAAAACAGTAAAATTTACCCCTGGTAAGTTTATTTCTTTAATATTTGTGTAGGTCAAACCGGGAACATTCCAATGGGACGGAGGGAGTATATGCTAGGGTTCTATTTTTTGTATAGAACAATACTCCCTCCGTCCCAAAAACAACTTCCCACTTTCCTTAAATGGATGTCTCAAAATTAACTTCACACTTCTTCCCACTTCCTTATTTGGCAAATTATCAACATCAAAACAGTGTCAAACAGTGCCAAACAGTGCTGAACAGTGTCCAAACAGTGCTAAACAGTGTCCAAACAGTGTCAAAACAGTAAATCTTTGGGAAAGTCAAACCAAAATTTTAATCTACCTAAATGTGTGTGCTAGTCAAACTGAGAAGTTGTTTTTGGGACGGAGAGAGTATAATATAGTCTTGAGATGACATGGATATGCTATTGTAAGAAACTAAGAACATTACACAAACATCATCCATGATGTCACGTTAATTTCTTCTATAGAACATGTGGGAGGCGGCAGCTATTCTTTTGTTTCTCAAGATTATAGATATTTTCTTTAGGACTCAAATTTGCAGGTTTTGATTTGATCTAATTTTTTTAGGTCTACTCTAATTTGGTCTGTTCTATTTAAGTTTGGTCTGGTCTAATCTGGTCTAGTCTGATCTGATAAATCTCTGATCTAGCCTATTTAAATCTGGTCTGATATGATAAATGTTTGGTCTCTGTGTTTTTATAATTGTCCAAGTTTGGTGTGATCTTATGTCTAATTTCATCTGTTTAAGTTTGGTCTGGTTTGATCTAGTATGGTCGAAAACCATTCAAAAAAACATTCTAATTGTTTCATTAATTGTCATTATTGATCGAACATTGCACAAACATCATCCATGATGTCACTTTAACTTCTTTTTTCTACTACCTCCGTCTCTTAAAACTTTGCCAAAATTGACCGGCACGGAGAATAATCATCATATACCTAAAAGCACTACACTGGAGAGAGAAAATTCTTCCGCCTAAGCATTCTCCGTCTAAAATCCTAATATGTAATTTCACTTTCCGCAAAAAAAAAAAATCATCATCCTATAATCCTAAAATCCTAAAATGTAATTTCATTCTATACCTAAAAGCACTACACTGGAGAGAGAAGAGTTTTCCGCCTAAGCATTCTCCGCCTAAAATCCTAAAATATAATTTCACTTCCCCCGCCCCCCCAAAAAGCATCCTATACCTAAAAGCACTACACTGAAGAGAGAAAATTCTCCCTCCTAAGCATTCTCCGCCTAAAATCCTAATATGTAATTTCACTTTCCGCAAAAAAAAATCATCATATACATAAAAGCACTATACTAGAGAGAGAGAAATTCTCCCGCCTAAGCATTCTCCGCCTAAAATCCTAAAATACAATTACACTTTCCACAAAAAAAATCATCATCCTAAAATCCTAAAATGTAATTTCATTCTATACCTAAAAGCACTATATTTGAGAGAGAAAATTTTCCCGCCTAAGCATTCTCCACCTAAAATTGTTAGGTTTGTAATGACCATTAATAAGAGTCACGGACAATCGTTGAAAAACGTTGTTATCTTACTCTGACGCTCCATTATTACTCACAAACATTTGTACATGGCGGTGTGGAGAGTAACAAGTTCATGGGATTGGAGTTTCTAATGACGAAGATGGAAAACCAACCAAATCAACATTGAATGTTGTTTACAAAGAAATATGTACTATAGAGTAATTTATAATTTTTGGTATAATGTGGTGGACTTAAATGCACATCCATTTCATCGTGTGATGTTTTACATTTAGATCTTTCCATTTATTCAGAATTTATATATTGTTTTCAAATAATTCTAACACAGTCATATTTTTTAAATATTTTTAAATATATAACTATATCTAAATTATTATGTGGGTGTCTCACTCCCGTGCAGCGCACGGGTGGAGTAACTAGTTTTTTAAAATTATACGCATACTGTATTTAGTTTGTAACACATCGAATGTAATACTACCTCCGTCCTGATGCACTTTGCTAAGTGCAAAGTAGGTGAGAAATAAGAAAAGTAAAAATTGTGTGGTTGAGATTTATGCAAAGGAGAGAGAAATGTGCAGAACCACAAATTAGTTGCTTTAATTGGAAAGTGGTAAAATTTTTGGGATAACCAAAAAGGAAAAGTTGGCAAAGTCCAATGGGACGGAGGGAGTATACAATAATAATGCCAAGGAATAACCAAACCTAGTGCATTCAAAGCATTTTTTACTCTGCTTCGCATAATATTTTGATAATTATTTGGTAATTCCAACAATTTTTGTTTCTCACAAAATTACCCACAAAAAGAGTAATTCACCAAGCCAGCTTAGAGATCTGGACCCACCCGACATCAGGGTTAGGAGCATCGTACTTGATCGGGTACGAGTCGGACTTCGGATCTTGATATTTTGATATTTTTGATATTTTTACTATTTTATATTTCTATTTTTTTCTTTATCACAACTTATATGATTTTTTTATAAATTTATAAACTTTCTTAATTTCTTTTTCATGAATGACATTCTATAGTAGATCACGGTGGCTTAATTGATTGTATTTTCAAGCAAGCATTCTTCTATGATACTCTCTCCGGTTCTCAAAGAGGTTCATAATTTGACTTCACACAGATTAAGAAAATAAATTTGACTTTACTGTGGAGTGTACTGTTTGGCACTGTTTGGACACTGTTTGGCACTGTTTGAAACTGTTTTGCACTATTTTGGTGTAGATAATTTGCCAAATAAGGAAATAAGAAGAAGTGTGAAGTTAATTTCGGGACTTCCCGAAAAGGAAAGTGGGAAATTGTTTGAGAACCGGAGGGAGTACTTTTTTAGTATGTGAACTCAAAACTTGTGAATACAAGATGCCACAATTGTAGCAGATTTGAAAGAAATAAAGAAGAAAATCAACAAAAAACAAAATAAATAAAGACCAAGGGAATTCGACCGTGTTAAACAAAACTAATGGTTAATATAAGAGCTGATATTACTTGGATATTCAAAGATTACCACTGCAGTTCAAAGATTGACACTGTAGTTCAAAGATTGACACTGCAGTGTAAAACAACTAAAGGAGGGCTGAATATGTGGTAATTAAACTTAGTCACAGGCATGACAAGAATAAGAACACAGGATATGTGCCAGTGTGATTGCACAATAGGTAAATACATAAGCAACAAAGAAGTATAAGCCCATATCTCACAAAAATATATGTAGCCAAGCATAAATGACTTACAATTTCAGCGGATCAAAGGAGAGTACCAGGAACACGTGATCCCAAACAGAGGAAAGATAAAAAACGTTAATCTGCAATTTAAAGTAAAGTTCAAAATTCCTAAACAAGCAAATTAAAATACCATATGAAACAGCATATAAAACATTAAACAGCGACATGATATGAGAACAAGTTCAGACTACCAACACGGTGTTTAACAGACTGCAATCGAACCCGCACCCCACGTAAGGGATGACAACTCTGCCCTAACCACACACATCCATATAAAAAACACATACAACGTAAAAGAGTAGAACACAAGATGATGCAACTGCAGCAGAATTAAAAGAGAAAAGAGATAAACAAGAGAATCAAGAAAGAGTAAAATAAAAACAATGGTGAATATAAGCTTCGATCACAAT